TTATGTAAAAATGTGGATGTGTAACCGATGTGATTCTGCAACTTGTATTTGGGGTAAAAAATGGGAGTTCATAACCCACTTGAATCAAATGTATGGAAGATGATATGTCATGAGCTTTGTAATGTTTTGAACAACCAATAAAAAAAGAAAAAGAAAAAAAAGTTTAGGCTTAGTAAACGTCTTGTGCTTTGCAAATGGTTAAGTCTGTTAAATTGCATTTCAGTCTAGTGTGGCTCCACTTTAGACAAAGAAATACTTTTCTCAATAAATGAAAATACAACGTTTCATTATGTTTTTTTTGTAGATTCCTTACAGTGACTTTATTTGATTTTTTACCTTAGTGTTTTTGATTAGAGTATTTTTTAGGTTAGAATCTTTTAAGACAATGTTCTGCGTAGTACCAAACCTTAGATAAAAATTTTAAGTCCCAAGTAAACAAATTGAAGAACTTGACTTACTTGCTCTCGTTCATAGTTTTTTTGAAAGTCTATTTTTAAAGTGGTCAGATATTGTCTGTACTTATTCAATTCTTTCAAGGAACATATAACCTATAAAACCAAAACCAAAAATATAAACACAAAGTTGTAAGAATCATAACACTTTCTAGAGAAGATAATAATAAGAACATTCATTTTAGTAAGAATTTTGAGATCAAGTCTAATAATAATGCACCCTGGTAACAACTTTGAAGGCAGTATCTGTATATAATTCCTTTATCAGCAGGAAATTTCTATCTAAATAATATTATTTTATTAATGTCTTATATCATAGTCAGAAATTTGCTATTCCCACTCAGTTTGTTATTTAAATACCAACATAGTAAAATGATGTTTAACCCTCAAAAGAATTTATTCTGTCAATCTGTATTCTGCTGGGTTCCATTTGTTGCCAGTTTTCCCAACAGGTATGGGAAATTACTTTTAGATGCAGGGGAAAGGCACTACATTTGGGGGAAAATACATAAATAAATGTGTTATATTATGCATGTCTTTACATACTCAACTTCTTGGTAAATATCTTTTGCTGTTTTTAAAGAAAACGGTCAAGTAAGAAGTAGTTTTAGGAAAAAAGCCACCTGATTTTCCGTGACCCAAATACTGAGTAATTAATTTAATTTTAAATTAAGTATCCTCCATTGCTCAACTAGATGTTGACACAGGCTGCCAGTGGGGCACAGAAGAGCAAGTGTCTATCAAATCCGTAGGTTTCTGCTAGTTAACAGGAAGTAGGTTTCAACATACTTTATTATTGCTGGTGATGTAACCGCCTTTCCTTAGTCGCTTCAGCATATCTTTTCTCTTATAGTATGTTTTTAGATGTGGATCGTGTAGATTTTTATAGCTGGGTTCCAGAAGTCGGCAATAAGGATCATTAAGATTAAAACCAAAAGAAGGTTGATAGAGCTGCAAACAAACAGACACAGAAGTGTTATAAATGCAAAATGAATGAAGTTACACTTTTTTTTCAGTGCTGGGCATGGAATACAAGCCTCACACATGCTAGGCAAGTGCTCTACCACTGAGCTACATCCCCAGACCCAAACATCAATTTGTGAAAATGATTAAGATGTTCATCAAAAATAAAACATGCAAGCAGAATCTGAAGTGAGAAAGTGCAGACAATGGGATAATTTGGTAAACGTATTGCCTTTCTCTTCCTGTCCTCTCCCAGAGTATGTTTAGGATGAAGATGGCAGGTGGAATCCTAATTTGTACACTGTGTGTTCAGTCTGCCTGTGGTCTCAACCTCAGTCCTGACACACAGAGGTCATACTGACTGTTGGGAAGAAGGAGAGGGTACATGCCAGGTTTCAGGAGCCAGATGGACAAATACACAGAAATAGGAACCAGCATGGGTATGTGTTTAGGCAGAAAAGACCCCAGACTGTTAAGTTGAGGCTCTGATTGGATATAAAGCTAAATGAGCACTGAATGGAACACCTGAGGTATGTCCTAGGGTCTTCTGTCATCAAAATGATAACTCCATTTGGTGTTTGAAATTCATGTTGAGATAAAGCATAATCACAGAAAAATGTTTTAGGTTTAATAGCAAGCCGAAAAGGATAAAGAAAAACACTTAAAGTCTATTAAAAACTAGTTTACCGTTTCACTTATATTTGTAGTATAGAATACATTAGTACTTCCTGGGAGAACTGGTAGCTTGACCCCTAGAGGCATATCCAACAGATGAGATACTCCAACTTCTGGAATGGTTCTTTTCTGCGAGCTCTGTCAGATACAATTAGAAAGTTTATGTTTTCTTCTAGGAAGTTCCATTCAGTTTAGACCAATCAATTTATACTTCAGTGGGCTAATACCTCCAAATAAATGAAACCATCACACACAGGATTGAAAGAACTCGACAGACCAGCAACCCTGAGGACTTTCCTGTTTCCGAGGGTCAACAGCACCTGTGTCCCGCCCAAGCCTAGTCCCGGCTGTTGGCAGTGACAGTGGTAGCGGCAGCTAGAATCACTGGTTGATGGAGGCCAGCGAGTAGACAATGGAATTGTTAAGGATCTGCTGATTCCCTCCCATTAATGGAGATCTACTCGACTGGACCCACCTGCCTACCTGAAACCCCACCCCCCGGGCCAACAGGAGGACTGGCAGACACTCACTATGCCGCAGTCCTTCTCAGCTTTCAGGGTGCTGGTGGCCACCTTGGTGGCGGCTACTTTGGCACTCTTAGAACAGCTATTGAGGTACAGCTCCATGGCCATCCGTCAGCCCCCGGGGGCCGGGGGCTGGGGTAATAGGCCGTCTTCGTTTCTCCTTCTATACCTTGCCTACTCTACGCTCTGATTAAGTCTGCGCAGCCAAGACCCTGGTTGTTAGGGTAACACATCAGCCAAGCCACGCCCCTCACAATACTGGGTTCCAGGCTGTGGTGGCCATGTCATCATATGGCATAGGCCCAACGGATGTCTCACTAACTGCCTCTTCCCAACTGACATCTCACCAACGGCTTCTCCCCAGTGGACATCTAGCTAACAGGTGTCACCCAAATGTGCACCATTCATAGGGGGAGGGGACTGAAGCACCACCTTGTATCCAGGATACGCGTGTTCAAGATCCAAGCCTTGAGGCTTCAGTGCCTCAAAAGTTAGGAAAGTGGTCTGAAATCCCGACCACAGCTGGGGTTTCCTGTCTTTTTGAAACTCATATCCCCCATTTTCCAGAATGTATCTATCTGACTTTATCAGGGGGTAGATGGATTTAATTCTTTTAATTCTTCCTGGCCGCCACACAGCTAATGTTCTACAAGTGTTCACATCAATGAGTAATTGTGTGGTTTTTATTACAATCAGAGGGTGACTTTTCACATTCACCCCCTTTATAGACAAAGTAACCTCCCTTCCCCTTCCCCTAGGCATACTCCCCAGTCCCACTTAGGACACTATGCTTTTGTTAAACTTGAGACTTAGAGGTTTCCATGACTTTATTAAGTTATTACGGATGCTAGCTAAAGGGCAATAGGACTGGTCCTGGGACAAATTTGCAAAGCTAGCAGCATGACTGGATATTAGTTGGAAAAATGGACACCAGGCTTAAAGGACTGGGGTGTTTTATAACAAATTTTGGGGAGATGAAACAAATTGTTCACACTGAATTTACATTGACTATGGATGAAAGGGGCAGGACAACATGAAGTGCACAAAATCCTGGGAAAAGTGTTAATCCATAGAGATGTGTTTGTGTTCTTGATTGGTTCCTCAACACACAGTAAAGGAATATGGAGCAGTTTTTTTTCTTTATTGATTTAGCTTTATGCAGTGATTTAAAATGGCCTTCTCTTCTTTCCTGCCTAGATTCTCTGGCCCTTTATTTAGGTCTCCTCCAAATTCTTAACAGTTTCTTCAAGAGCCCAATGCTTCCTCCATTGAATTCCTGTTTCCTGTCCTGGACTTTTCATTTCTCTGGCCCTTCTCTCCCTCTTTTTATTTCTTTCTATCTTCTCAACCAACCAACCAACATCTACTGAGTGCCTGATCTGGGTCAGACACTGTATTGTGTACTGAGGATTCATACTCTCTGTCACCAAGGAGCTCACTACAGTGCAAATATAGAAAGGGTTGAGACTGAAACACTTTTTGGGAATTTGTTATTTTCTCTATGCTACATATATATCTAGTTTATATACATATAGACCCAACACACATCATAATTAAACTTCTGAGAACTATTATAACCATCCAGAGACAAATGAAACATTACTTACTGGAGAAAATGGATTTGAATGACAGAGTATTTCTCATTTGAAACCATGGAAGCCAGAAGGAAGAGGTACAGCACTTTTCAAGTGCTGAGAGAAATTAATTACCAACTGTGAGTTCTGTACTCAGTGAAAATACCCTTCAGGAATGAAGAAGAAATAGAGACATTCTCAGAGGAAGGAGGACTAGGATTCATTGTTAGCAAAACTATTCTTGGTGGCTAAAGGAAGCTCTCTAAGCAGAAATGAAATAACACCCATTCTGAGGAAGGGGTGAGGATGAGGAGGTGTTCAAATTTAGAGATACAGAATGAAAATACAGATAGCTCTTTTCTGTTCTATTTAAAACATGGATATCCTGGGACTCATTTCATGTCCATGGAGACATGGAGCTCTTGAGGATAATTCACTCAGATCCAGATCAAAGACATGAATACTATGACTTAGCAAGGTGCAGAGCTGTCCAATGAAGAATGCAATCTGCTTTTAGTGGCCTACAAAAATGTGGTCAGGGGGCTATAAGTCCGCCTGAAGGGACATCTCGAGCATCAAGCAGAAACTGTTACAAATGGGCTGGGCACAGTGGCTCATGCTTGTAATCTCAGCAACTCTGGAGGCCGAGACAGGAGGATCACAAGCTTGAGGTCAACCTCAGCAAATTAGTGAGACTCTGCCTCAAAATTAAAAAATAAAAAGGACTAGGGATGTGATAAAGCACCCCTGGGTTCAATCCATGGTTTAAAAAAAAAAGAAGAAAGAGTAGTTGGAGAGGGGAGGAGAAGGAGAAAAAACAGAAGGAGGAAGACGAAGAGGAAGAGGAGGAGGAGGAGGAGGAGGAGGAGGAGGAGGAGGAGGTTGTTGTTATTGTTGAAGTTGCAGCTGATTAAGGAAAACGTGTAGTCAGAGATAAGATCTATCTGCATCACAGTCCTGGAATTGTTGGGTAAGTATTTAATTGCCAACACAACAAATCCAAAGAGTAAGGTATTCTATCTGAAAATGAAGGGAGGTCACTTCCCGGTATCTTGCTGAAGTTGCACGTGGTGATGATCAGAAACTGGCAATAGGTATTTCCCAAGGAGCTTACCAAAGGCATTTGATACAAGCAAGAAAGAGATACAACCTCTATACCCATTCCACCTGGGGCTTGCTCTTAACTTCTCTGTATTTTCTTATGAGATCCTTAATGATGCATAACTGCCTGTACACTGGCTAAAATGGCTTTTGATGAGGCCATTGTAGAACTTGATACACTGAATGAAGACTTATATGAGGACAACACCCTCATTGTGCAGTTCCTTAGAGACAACTTAACATTGTGGATATCAGACATTCAAGAGAAGAATTTGATACAGCAGAAGGGGCTGAAAACTAAATATAAATAGGGTGTCATCCTTATTCCCTTTAAGAAACCTTTTAATGTGTCTGCATTCCTTATTTCAGTTATTTCCTGTAACAAAGAAACACACTCATGTGTATGGAATCAACTTGGGGAAAACGCCATTCCTTGATTTGTGATTGTCTTAGCCTTCTTGGTGTGCAGTTACTTCTGTAGAAAGTATTAATAGCTTCATTTCATATACACATAATTAACTTCCACATACTCAGTAGCGGACTAAAAATATATCTGGTGCTTAAGTAATCTGAACCAGTTCTGCAAGTTATTGTGCTTTGTATTACTGTGAAAATAAGAAAATGTAGTTAATTACAATTTTAAAATGTTGTACATAGCTTCTTAATTTCTACATTTCCTTCTTTATTCTTCTTTGAATGTTTCCTTTTAGTAAGCAACTTCTGCATACTCTTACTTTATTCCTTTTTAGTAGGAATCTAAAAGTATTAGAATGAATGGGAAAGCACTTGACATTCCTGTGTATCACATACGATGGAGATCGTGTCTATCTGTGATAACAGAAGTTTCCTTATTCACTCCTCATTTGCTACTGTTAAGTTGACAATTTTCCTTCCCAATAAAAACTCACTTACACCTACCTCCTGCTTTGGTGGTTCTAGTATTGATGTTACTGTGTAATGGAAGTAGCATGTTGCTGCTATAATACAACATTGCTTTTTTGCAAATTAAATTGCATGTGACTTATTAATACAGTAGTGGGGGGAGATTAAAGTACACAAGTCCAAGTCTAAAACTTAGTACTTTTCCATAAGGATTTGTACACATGAGAGAGGGTGTTCAGTTTGTCTAGTGATAATTCTTTAGAGAGTTGGACCACTATTATGTTTTGCTAATCATTGACTGCAGTCTCAAAGAAAACCTTGTGAAAATGTCATGCCCTATGTAACAGCAAAGTAACCTAAAACAAAATTAGGTTTGATAAAACAAAAAATGGATATCCTTGGATCAGGATTTTAAGAGACTTTATTAACAAGCTATATTTTCTGCTGCAAATGACAGAATTTTATTCTTCTTAATGACCAAATAATATTCCATTATATTAGTACATTATAATTACATAAAAATGGGTTCCTTGTGATGTATTTGCACATGCACATAACAATTTGGCCAATTTCATTGTGCAGTACATCACCTTTTCCTCTCCTCCCCAATCCCTATCCTCTACTGGTCTCCCTTCTATTTTCTTAAAAAAAAATTGTCTTTCTAGTTTCTATGTATGATAAAAGACATACTCCCTTTGACTTCCTGAGTCTGGCTTATTTCACTTTACATGATGTTTTCCAGTTTCATCCAATTTCCTGCAAATGTCATAATTTCATTCTTCTTTATGGCTATGTAAAACTCCATTGTATAAATATACCATATTTTCTTTATCAAGTCACCCATTGATGGGCACCTAGGCTTGTTCAATAATTTGGCTATTGTGAATTGTGCTACTATAAACATGGGCATGCATTTATTGGTATAGTAAGCTGATTTTAATTTTTTTTGGATAACATTGGTAGTTTAAGCAAATTTCCCTTTCAGGCAATCTTGGCTTCTTCTATCATGAACCTCAAAACTCTTCCAGTCTCCACCCTTTGCATGTGACTTATTAATACAGTAGTGGGGGCGGGATTAAAGTACACCCAATTCCAAAGCCATTTCAATTTTTTTTTGGTATTTCTTTCAGCAATATCTCTCTTTCCAGTACCAATATTAGTATTAGTTTCCCACGACTGCCATAATAAAGTACAGAACCACAATCTGGGTGGCTTAACATAACATAAATTTATTGTCTCACAATTCTGCAGGCAAGAAGCTTAAAACGCAGGCATCAACAGTGCCAGTATTTCCTCTGAAACCTGTTATGTGTCCTTGCCTCTTTCTACCTTCTGGAAGTTTGCCAGCAGTCTGGTTTTCCTTTTGCAACTGAAAAACTCCAATTTCTGCCTTTATTATTACATGGATTTCTGCCTGTGTATCTCTGTCTTCATGTGGCCATGTTCTTTAAGGGTACTAGCCATATTGGATTAGGAACCTATCTTATTCCAGTCTGACCTCATCTTAATGAATTTTATCTATGACTTTCTGAGGTACTAGTGGTTAGGACTTCAATACATTTTTCAACTCATAACAGAGCCTGAACAGGGT